GGTGGGTTGAACTTTTGTGAACCCTCCAAAAAATTACTTTACAATAAAATGACCGCATTTAAATACATAACAAAACAGTGTGTGTATGGGGGGGGGGGGGGGGTTAATGAACACTTTCACAGTAAATTAAAAATAAAACTTTTAAGTTTGAAAAAAGGAGGGGCCAAGCTACCCCTCCCCTCTGCTTTTACGTCGCTGACGGCAATGAATTGCCGAGTGTGCGTTGATTCAAGACTTGCTTCGTCAAGAATATTCGTTTTGGGGTTTTTTTCTGTTGCATTGAGTAAGACAAGTAGAAATTGAAAATCGTTCCCCAATTTAAAATGCAATCATTAAGTTTTTTATGATCTTAAAGAGTTTATTTTTTTCTTAAAACAAGAATTTTATAGGATTACAAATTACTTAACTACTGTTCATGTAATAACATCTCGTTCTTTTTTATGTGGATGACACCACAACCAGCATTCAAAGGAAAATTTACAATAGTAATATAGTATATTCAGAAAAGGGGGGGGGGGTAGCCTCCGCGTTCTACGGACCTGAAATAAGGGGAAAAATAATGATCCCTCTTATTTATTCTTGCAATTTAATGACTTCAAAAAACTGAAATTACTTTGGTGGGGAAAGTCCACTTCATTGTTTTTTTTATGCATAACATTCTATCATTTCATATTCATCATTTCATTTTCCAATTCAGCATTTAAAAATCCCATTGCTCAAATATGTTGGTCTCTAAAACCATGATTTTTTACGAAATGCAGTTCATACAGCACCCTTTAGTTTTCTTATCCCTTTGCTCAAATGTTTTACAACATTTTGAAAGATCAAACAAAAAAGACGGTTTGTTTGCATGAAACAATTTAATTGCATCAACTATACAAAAAAGTACATAAAAAGAATGCTGACATGAAATAAGATACACATGTATAAGCCAAGTGTTAATAGATAATTCTTGCTGTTAATTTTTAAGGTATCCAAAATAAGTTTATTTTCACAGAACAACCAAGGACAATCAGTCAGTATTTGTGCAAAATATAGTGGCATTTTCTTAGTGCATTAAACAACATACAAGTTTCGAAATAAAAAAAAACAACTCTTTAAGCTTAAAGCTGACAACCAAGCAAGAAATATAAATATCATGCAGTTAATAACTTCCTGTGTTTAAAATGCAACAAAAGGCCCTAGGCTTTGACTATTACCTGAGTATTATGAATTTCTCAGGCTGTGGTCATTTCAAAACCGCCTGGATCTAGAAATCTAGACCCATGCAACAAAAATCGTAAATTTTCACAAGAATTCTATCTTTATTATCATATTGATGCAGCTGAACTCCTAGAAGTTCAAAAGTAAAGAGGATAAGGTATACTGGCTAATACTGTAAAAAATATTCTAATTTATGACTAACTCTGCCTTTTCATGGGCCTGAAACATGAAGAAGCCTTCAATTAGAGGGCTAAGCATTAATTAAGATTAATTTTAGAGGTCCATGTTTGCTCCTACGAATATGGATTATTCTAATGGACTTTTGAGTTTGATTACTATTCATAATCTTCATATTTAATTTTATGCCTGCTAGTTTGCCTGCTAGATGTTCACCAGTAAAGGATTTTTTAAAACTTCAATTTACAGCCCATAGCAAGGGTTTCAAAAGTAGGGGGGACTTCAAAAAATATCTGACAAGCAAAAAAAAAAACATTATTTACTGAACCGACCTTATTGCAACAAAAAGGGGGGGGGGAACCAGGATATAAAGGATACTTTACTATAGCAAAATACTATACTCAGAAAAAGTGGGGGGGGGGGGGTTCTATGGGCCTGTTGCAGTGTCAATATAAATAGGTAAACTTTGCATGAACAATGGGTCATGAGCGATAAATTTCACAAAGAATCTGGGGGGATAAGACGAGCCACGTGCCCTTGCCCATTTTTCGGCTATGCAAGAACATTTATTGGAAAAAATCTCTCAATTGCTCGAATTTACTTAAGCATCTAAATGTTTACGGTAGTTTTCAAAAATGATTATTTATATTCTAAACAAGCTAAACAGTTGACTTTCATTTACTGTCACAAGTGTCTAACATGGACAGGGACTTCTTTTAATTAATCTGGATATTGAGTGTTAACACTTATTGTGGAGATATTATAAAATGTTAACATTGTATATAATGATATAGTGGTGATCTAGAAGCGCTTGTAGTAAAAATAAATAAAAACGGAAATAAAAGTATTCAAATATCTATTATAATTTTTATCCGGCATTTTAAATAATTTACTGTAAATGAGTTCATTACTACATACATATATTTTATTTCCAGTGAAAAAAATGTTATTCCTATAGACATTTTTTATAAAGTAAAATAAAATTACCCCCCCCCCCCCAAAAAAAAAAAAAAAATCAGAGAATGACTCGAACACTTTCCTCAATAAACTTCCCTTTAAAGAGCTCCTCGCTAACCACTAGACCACGGTGTCACATATACATACCCATTTAAATCGCATACAGTTCTCTATATTTAGCAAGCGTATTTGGACTTAGAATTTGTTAAGACCACGGTGAAAATTTAAGTAAGTTAACTTAATTTTTTATGTAGAGTGGGTCTTCATACCAAATTTTTGCAAGTGTAAAAAGCAACATCTTTCCATTGCCTTTCATTAATCGTTCTCAAAAAAATGGTACGATGACCCACTCTATTTAAAAAATATAGTTATATCATCCAATTTATGCCAGTTTTTGCGAAAATTGAGCGTGATGCTATTTTGTTGTGTTAATCAGAATCATTTTCGCTGTTAGAGTATTCAGGTTTTGTCAAATTTGTATGCAAATGGTAATAAGCATTACATTAATTCATCAAAAAGTGTAATTTTTGTAAAATGAATTTATTGATTTTTTATCAATCGTTATGTAGGCATATGGCTCGGCTTATCCCCCCAGTTTCTTTTGGTTAAAAAATAATTACTTGCTTAAATTATGCAAACAGCTGTCTGCTACATGTCCATGAAAAAAAATTTATAGGATATATTTTTTCAATATTCAGCTCCATCCTGAACCTATATGCAAAAATGAATCTCACAATTTTTTGTACTTAAAGAGCTATGGGCTTATATGATATGCATACCATCAACTGCCTGCTGGCAAAACTTCTCACAAAAGAGACATGAATGTTTTTTATTATCATAGTCCCCAGACGATGTTTTTGGTCTCTAAAAACCTGGTCTTTCGCTTCTCTGACTGTGGTAAAACTTTGCCGACATCATCATGATCATCTTCAAATTCACTGTCTTTTTCGCTGTCACTTGCAAGTGCAGCTTGTTTCTGCTGCATTTCAGATTTGAGAGGCTTACTGGGCATATCTGAAATTATTATATATGTACATGTATTGACAAAAGGGATTCATCTTTATTTTCATAGAAGAGGCCAATGGGCCACATGGCTCACCCAAGTCACAATGGCCCTGCACATTTCCCCCCCTATATATCCCTATGTAAAGCTTTGATTGCCTATTATGGCCTCATCTTACCCATTCAAACCTAATGAAGAGGTATGAAAGTTGTTTTTCCATACTTCAATCTGTTAGGCATGATTGAAACACTCTATGTAAGCTCCTTATGGAGATATTTATAATTTATAATGCTGGCTAATGAACATCATGTTAATGTGATGCAAAGGAAAGTAATTTATTTAAAATGAATTTTTTCAATTTATCAGACTGTGATCATGTCTGGAGAAAAAAAACAACTTATGGAATTAATCCTTAACTGTAATAAAGAAACAGTCATACTTAAAATTCAAGACAGAAATTCTGCCAGAATATTAATTCACTTTAAACAATCTACATATTGTACAATGTAATACATAACACCTTATACAAGAGGCCCATGGTCCATGACACCTGAGCCCTTTTGCAAGAGAAAAGCAGAAATCAGTTCAGTATTGGAAAGTTTGAGTAATTATACAATTGGTGCCACCCTATGCCCTGTGGGTGATGATTTGAACAAACCTGAAACTACTTCTCCCACCCTACCCCTTGATGTTACGATTTGAATAAATTTGAATGTACACTACCTGAAAAATACTCCTGTTTTAATATAACAAATCATGGCTTTGCTGTTCTTGAGAAGAAGGCCTTTAAAGACATTTTCTATATAATTCCATGTAAAAGTCTTATGCCCCATTGTGTCCCCACCCTTCTGCAAGGGGTCATTAGTTGATAAAACTTCAAGCTACCTTACCTGAGTATGCTTCTGTATTAATATGACTCGTCATGGCTTTGCTGTTCTGGAGAATAATTTTTCTGGCCCACTCAGACCTGTTTAACTTTTCTAACTGATGTCAGTATTCTAGAAGTTGTCAGTATTTTGAGCAGTTAGTCAGTAAAAATGCAACTCAGCTTATTAGACATTTTTATATGAAGAACCCCTTGTTATACAAATACTAAGCACTAACTACGCAAGTCACCATATGCTGTCTACTGTTGATTACATATTTTACATTTGCCGTAATTATATTGTTTTTAGATCATTTTTGATAAGACCACTTCAATCAACAAGCTTCTTTATCAAACTGATTGGCAAATTTCGGGAACGACTCTGATTTTTTCCGTCTTTAAGGAAAATCTGTATATTTTCAACGTGAATCTGTAGAGCACTTTTTTACTCGAAGATTCATGGAAAACACTAAAAAGCTGTACAAGTAAACAACTCTGCCCATTGTTTCTGGAGAAGATTTTTTTAAAGATGCCATCAAATTTGCACTTATTTTTGATTATATCCCCTTAAAATAGGGTGATGCCTTTCATGTGAACAAACTTGAATCCCCCACCGAAGAATACTTTGTGGCAAGTTTGGTTGAAATTGACGCAGTGGTTCTTGAGAAGGAGCTGAAAATTTGAAACAACAGTGACGCTGGAGATGGACAATGGACAAACTTTGATCAGAAAAGCTTACTTGAGCTTAAGAAAGTTCTGTTTTCAGCTTTATTACCAAGATCATTAATGGTATCTTCATCACAGCTTTCTTCATCGCTTGAAGGATGGTATGATTCATCATCATTACCATCATCATACTCGTCTGCTTTATCACTTAAAAGTGGCCCTGTATCATGTCCTATTTAAAATTCTAAAAAAAGAAATTATCATTTTAAGGCTGTTCATTTTTATGGGGTTAACTTTTAATTTGTAACATCCAAACAACATCATAAATATAGATTACCATTCTCATTGACAACATCATGACTGCTGCTTTCATTTACAAATGATTGGTGTGATTCCTCATCCTGCTCAATTGCAAAAGACTCTGTCAAAACATTCAAATTAGATATTAAATTGGAAAATAACACTTTTCTTAAAAAGTAAGATTCAAATTTATGATTACAATAGGGGTTATCTATTTTTTTCTTTTTGCCTTTACTATGCATGCAAAGAAGAGTCCCATGGGCTACAACATTTCCCATGTAAAAGAAGCTTTTCTTAATGCTTATAAAGAGTTTTTCTCCTTAATTTTCTCATGCAAAATTGTGAACTCATATTATGACCCTATCCTAACTCTAAAGGGTCTCTGAATCCACTATCCCCCCCCCCCCCCCCCCCCCCCCGCTTCCTTCCTCCCTTTGGCCATGATTTGAACAAAAAGGAAGCTACAAGAAGGTTTAAAAATACTTTTTGTGGTCCAGTTGTTCTTAAGAGGATTTGTAAAGATTTTAACCAGTACATAAATGTATGTATATATTTCAAGTTAAATCTTTGATCCCCTATTGTGGCCCCATCTACCTCAAAGGCCATTTTTTGAACAATTTAAAATCTTTATTACATCAGGAAGCTTTCACATAAATTTCAGCTCCTGACCAGTAAAGTGAGAGTATTATGGGCTTTGAGAAGAAAATACACATTATGGTTTAATTTGACCTCCAAATCTTTTTTATAGTACCATAATAGTGTACGATACATTTATTAACTTGACAACATACCAATCTTCTCCTGGATTTTGTATGCTGGTGAGCACAGACTGGGCTCACAGTTTCCAGCAAAGTTAACAGCTGTAACTCTAAACTCCCACTCTGAGTCCTGAGGAAGATCGGTGACAGTAAAGAGGGGTCAGTGCAGGGGTACTCATTTCTCTGTTCCCTTAAACCTCTCTTCTACAAGGAGGTCTACAAAGATAATCAATATTATCAACTGCTACAGTGTTTATGTGGTTTTGAACAGAGATCAACATTTCCCTTTTTTTATTCTACTTTTAAATTAGTACCTGTAATTTTACAGCCACCATTATGTTTAGGTGGTTCCCATTTCAGATAAGTTATAGAATTGTTGACAGCCTCTGGTACACCAGGTGGCAAAACATTGGCTAAAATAAAAGTTTAAAAACGTGAAAGAAAAAATAATTGAAAATAAAGTGCAATATGGTAATTGTTTTTTAAAATGTTATAATTTTTTTCAAATATACTTACTGTATTTGGGCTTGGGAGTTATGGGACCAATCACATCACTAGACTCACTAATTTAAAAACCTTCAAGATTCTTGGCCTGTATGTGGAAGTTGTATTCCTTGTCATTTTTTAATCCCTTCACTGATGAAAAAACTCTCAAATTCAAGTTTTGTAAACAAAACAAATTTCAAGAATCACTTTTGTAAAACATCTTTTCACAGTTTTCAGCCATAATATACTAATTACATGCAACAAAAGGACATGTAAATCCACTTACTAGTTCATAAGAAAGATACATGTGTCAACAAGTAATCAGTTACTCACCCTCATAAACACACTCATCTACTGGGTAGTCATTAGCCTGCCTCCAGTGGTGGGGTCTTCGTATTCTATGACATATCCTATAATCTTCTTAAAACCATCATTTCTTGGTTTGGTCCAAGAGAGAGATTGACAAAATCTTCATCAATGTCGAAAACACTTGGATGTCCAGGAGGATCACAACAAGCTGAGGGAAACATTTAATATTTTCAAAATTTTTCAACCCAGTTCATCATGCAAGCACAAAGACATTCTTTTACCAATCAATGCTCGAATCTTAACATATCCCTTCATATTGAAACGAAGTCTTAAAGTTTGGAATTCATTTGATATCTAACAATTCATGTTCAACAGAATTATCACTTCACTTCAGCTTAGCTTCAGGGGAGAGATCAAAATTCATACACATCTACAAAAACTAATCAATCACCTGAAAATGAATTTCTTTGGCTACCACTTAAATATTTAGATGACTTGCAAAATAAAGTGGACAGACAGGACAGTATATATAGCTTGAACGAATAGGGATATACTAAAATACTTAACTAAATGTGCATTCTCAACCAAATTTGTGCACAGTGCACTATTTAAAGAATGTCCATACAAAGTAGTCAAAATACCAATCCCAAAGATCTTGTACTTAGCATTTTACAATTTTTTCCTCATAAAAATAGACGAATTCAAAATTTGATGAAAAATATAATGCTCTCAAACTAGGAATAATTAACATTTTTGGTGGAATGGCTCTGTTCAATGGTACCAGTTATGGAAGAAAAAAAATGCTGCTGTTTGTTCTTTATCACAAAATACATTGTATTTAAAAAAAATTCCATTTCTTTTTTATTTTAAACATATTTTTCCTTTATATTCCCACAAAAAACTTAAATCCACTATTGTTGTGCCACTCTACAGGTACCTCTAGGAACCATGATTGGGAAAAAAATTGTACAGCACTTTCTGAGGATAACAGCTAGGACATTAATATCACTAATCAATGTCCTGTTGTGACATACATTCCAATGAAAAACTTCAATCCTTCATTGTAGCCCTATCCTACCCCACTGTAGATGCACTTCATTTATTTATTTTTATACAAAAAGACAATTGAACAAACTACCATGTTATGACCGCATCTTATTATGACATTTTTTTTATATGTTGATGTAAAAAAAAATATTGATTCCATACTGGTTCCACCTACCCCATTAAGTCAGATTTGAACATGCAAACTTGAATCTATACCATGTCAGGACACTTCCACATAAGTTTCAATGGTTTATAAAAAGGAGATTTTTATATGAATCAAATTTTCACTGTTTCATAGCTACTTCTCCTTGAAAAGTTGGTCACCATTCATTTAAACAAATTAAAATTGCTAAGTGGTTCTCCAGAAGAAGTAAAATGCTCCTGAGCTTTTGAGTAGATTTTTGTCTTAACCTATATTTCCACTTTTGCATAATGTTTTAGTTCTTACAATAAATTTGGATTCTACAATACCAATTAAAATATATTCAGTTAAAACTCCATGATTAAATTCCATACCAAAAGCATTAAGTGAGGAACTACTGTATGTGTACTTAAAAAAGCAGGCTTCATATTTTAGGGGGCCCTTGGCGCAGACAACAATGCCCTAATTCATGAATACCACTAAGAAATCATTTATAAATACAATATATGGTACAGACATTTATAGCGCTAATTCATGATGTCGCCAACACCTCAAAACCCAGTGATTTCGCTAAATTTTGAATACACTATTTTATGGACACATACAGTATATTTTGTGGCGGAAGGTTTTTTTTTAGAAGAAAATGATAATTTCTTTCTCTTTCAAAGTATTTAAAGTATGCTAAGTTTGGATTCCTATTTTTCCATGCAGCCTACACACAGAGTTATTCTGAGCCATGAATTGTTTTATGCTGGTCCTAAATTATATATCAAATAAAATATCATGAATTCTATCATTATATTTGATAAGTATAGCAAATATATTGTGAAAATCCAGAAAAAATAGCCGTAATCTAAATTAAGCTTAAAATTAGCACTATTTCGGTAATAACTAAAAATTAACATCACAGACCCCCACTTTTAATTTTCTTTTCTGAATATATAAAATACTTTTAACCATTCTTCTTAAATTCAGTAAAATGTCATTACTTTCAAGATATTTTATTGCTTGATAAATTTTTTAATGCCAGAAAAATATTTTCTGAGTGCAAAAAGGTCAAATAATTGAACTTGCGAAGTAATTTGAAAATTTTTTGTTGTCACAAATTTTAATACACCTATATATTCAAGGTGAAATAAGACTGTGTTTGTTCCCATAATTTATTTGAAAAAAATATTGGAGGAAAAACTTTAAAAATTGATTTATGTGTAAGACGTATTTACAGTGCAAAAAAAGTCAAACTAAATGCTCAATAGCGCCAAGAGAAGCACATTAACCCCTATTTTTTGTTTTGATTTTTAATTAAACTAGGTGTGTAGATTCTAAAAATATACTTGATAAAAGATTCTCATTACTTTTGAATTTAAAATTTCAAAATTATGCTTTGTAAAGTAGAAATCTGGTGTCTGATTATATTCGATAACATTGAAACACTAGAAGCTGATTCCAAACATTGATCGAAAATGAAAATAAACCAATGCAAGGAAACTCAAAACATCTGTGTGATAAATGTATACAGACAGGGAAACTAACTACATGTGGGTAAATAATGTACTCTGGCAAGGAAACTAACTACATGTGTGCAAATAATGTACTCTGGCAAGGAAACTCACTACATGTGTATGATAATTTTAAACAGACAAGGAAACTCACTACGTGTGTGTAAATAATATACTCTGGCAAGGAAACTCACTACATATGTGTAAATAATGTACTCTGGCAAGGAAACTCACTACATGAGTGTAAATAATTTACCCTGGCAAGGAAACTCACTACATGTGTGCAAATAATGTACTTTGGCAAGGAAACTCACTACATCTGTGTAAATAATGTACTCTGGCAAGGAAACTCACTACATGTGTGTGATAATTTTAAACAGACAAGGAAACTCACTACATCTGTGTAAATAATATACTCTGGCAAGGAAACTCACTACATATGTGTAAATAATGTACTCTGGCAAGGAAACTCACTACATGTGTGTGTAAATAATATACTCTGGGAAGGAAAATCACTACATGTGCAATTATTGTCCTCTGACACGGAAATTCACTACATCTGCGTGATAAATTTTAAAGTTAAAGATAGAAACTCAAAACGTCGACACAAATACTGAGGTATGTGACTAATGCAGAGATTATTAAATACTGTACGTAGCATGAAAAAAATTGCTGGCTTCACATCAATGTTGCTATGGAATGAAGGAAAAAAATATACTACATGTTTTGTCTTTGATGAAAAAAGAAAAAAAAATAAAAAAAATAGAAATAATGTTATATTGTAATATATTTCAATACAAAATTTAATATTGCAATGTATCCAAGGTATTGTAATAGGATTTTTAATTTGCAATACCTAGCACTTAACTATGAACACAATGAGTGATTTGGCAATTTTAAAACAAACTACATTTCCTTTGCAGTAAATTTATCATCAACTTGTTCCTACTATGGATAAATTATATATGGCTCAACTAGTATTATAAACAATGAAAGTATATCCCTGAATAGAAAATAGCAAAATTTATATTTTTTTCCCTAAAAATGTATGTCTGTAACATGAATATATTTCATTCAGAATGAAAGTAATAATAAAGAAATAGTCCTTGAAATATTATGTTTTTTACGTTATGTCAAAAATCTTGACGCGAAACATTGCAGAGGTCTGAGAGAGGAACGAACGACTACTCTGCATAGGAGATTGGTAAACAGCAACCCCCCCCCCCCCCCCCTGCCAAACAAACAAAACAAAAAACACGATATAATATCTAATCATAATATTTAACCTCCTGGGGTAGTGAACTCTATAAAACATGTTTAGTAGACTTATCTATAATGCATATCATAGAAGAAATATGGAATCAAAATAATCATCCCAAATTAAACATACATGTATTAACCATTAGAGAGAATCTAGGTATGTCACTCCAGTTTGTTTACTTTGTACCCCATTGGTTTTTCTGAGTTGAAATCATGTTTTTATTTCAAAATGAAATGCCATTTCACATTCTTTTGACATATAATTCAGTCTGTCTTTAATTTGATGAAGCTTTTAAATTGGATTTGCATCTCATAAGAATCCTACAATTTATTCTCAAATACAAATCAATCAGTGTTTTGGAAAATCCTTAAGTAAAAGCAAGAGGCCACTCAATCTCATTCATAACAGTATGTCACTTCTTTTCATATCCATGCTCAATACATTTCACTCTGATTCTTATTCTTCATAATTTCAATACTTTGCCGATGCTTCATTGTGTTAGCAATGTATACCAGTTCTTCTTACTTTTATACTAATTCCAGTTCTTAACTACTGTAACATTATTTTTAAATTTGCAAATTAAATCTCTGTTACAAATATCAATTTAAATATTTTTGTTGTAGGCAACCAAGAATTCAAGTAATGTGAGAAAAACAAAATGCCAGTAATATGTCTTCAATTATGTCATGAAAATGACTCTGGCCATCCGAACCGAGCAGCATCCAATCTTATAATTATGTGTTGATACTTATAAGTGTTGTCAAATCGGACAATTTTTAGTAACCGGTTACTCGCTTACTTTTCCGATCAAGTAAACGGTTACACGGATGGATTTTTTTTTAGACCTTTAAACATCCTTGCTCATGGTATGTATTCAATAATAACTGTAATATATGTAACGTCATTACAATTTCCATGTTTAACATTTACATACTGGCCAATATCAAACGCAAATGCACTGTAGATGCGTTTCATTTATTTATTTTTAATTACACAAAGACAAATTAAAGCTTCTAAATGAATTTGTTCTTGAATATCCTGTAATATTAAGTTGGCAATTTTTGCGGATGTCCTAAATATAAACTTACTTTAGTTTCATTTCTGTGTATGTTAATTTCATTTTACATATTTTACACCTTTCGGATTTAAATTCTTTTAAAACATTTCGGAATCTATGCTTTTGATGGCTGTGGAGGCATCTTGTTTAAAATTAATCCTGTACTGCGGACTAGCACAGTATAAGTGAGGTAATTATAATTAACCCAGGTTTTCTACATTGTATACTGCTTGGCAATCAAAGCCATCGATTAGATAAACTGTGAAAACTAAGTGTTATCAAAACAAATCGGTCATGTTTGTGAAATGCTAGATCAAGTCTAACGTTAAATAACGGTAAATAAAATGGTAGAGGTGTACATTCATTTCTGAACAAAATAACATTTCTTTTCTACTTTTGTCTATATATCTGAGTAACTGAGTAGCAGTTTTACTATCTGATACTCGCATTGTTTGCCGATTAACCGGTTAACCAGGTACTCGTTGACAACACTAGTAGAAATGGTTAAAATGGCATCACACAAAATAAAGATAAATTAATTATTCAAATAACATGGAGTAATACAGTAAAACATGCTTACAATAGCAAAGAGCCGGGGACCAAAATATTTAATTCTTTATAAACATAAACTTTCCATTTACAACACTTTTAAATCTATGGGGAAGGAAATCACTTCAATGTAAGCATATAAATTCATTTTAAGCATGTTTGCTATAACAATGTTCTGGCTGATTGATTTGAAAATTTTATAAATGGTTCTTCAATGATGTGCACAATTTAGGAGACACTGCAACAAATGGAAGCTAGACCACTGCTCCTTGATGAAAATATATCCTTGTTCGTAACCTTATTATAAATCTAGCTTAATAGTCAGACTGGGTGAAGCCTATCTTTATGAAGTATTGATACTGATGGTGGCATTACATAAAATCAAAGGCCTGAAGGCCTGAGAGACGCATCGCACTGAAGGTAGAAAACTCAAATTTTTTTACTCAGAAAAATTCGACATACATCTTGAGGGAACGAAAAAAAATCAGGAATAAAAATAAAAATTAAAAATATCATTTCTTTGAGGTTAAAAAAAGATTTTGAGTCGTGGCATTTTTTTAGTCGGTCGGAAGAGGGCAAACAAACATTTTTTTAAAGATAGTCTGATATATCAATTATAATTCATTGATATTTAAATTAATCTATAATTGATTTTAATTATACTTTTATTTTTTTTTATTCTTTCATTATAAACATAGTAGAAAGATGAAATAATGAACGAGAATTTAGAAATGAATGATTATTGAATAATTCTATATAATTTCATATCTGAATTTTTTCCGTTTCTTTCATTATGAGCATTTTTTTTTAAATATCAATACTTTGTCTTAGACTAGTTTTATCAATCAAAATGACATAATACGTAAACCATAGTGGGATACATGAAATGTTCATATAATTCGGACTGAAAAAAAAAAAACAATCGGGAGTGGTATACGGTATACTATGAAACACGTTTCCTCCGATATTTTCGATAAAATCAACTCAAAAAGTCTATGTTTATACGGTATTAGTAAACCTATAAATTGAAATCCACTGTCATTGCAATTTTTTATCAAATATTTTATCATACTCAACTGACATTTTACCAAAAACTGATCATTTCACCGTTTCGTGTCACCCTTCCTCGTGGAATTTTTTTCCCAAAACAGTCTAGACAAACTCCAAAAACAGCTTTGCTTTTCCGGAAATAAGAAATTGAGACTGAAAAAGACTCCGAAAATAGAGTCCGCACATGCGCACACGCACAAAAAATAGCGATTTTTCGGCAAAAATGATGGGTCTACAAAAACTGTCTGTGCAAAGTTTTGGAAAGTATGGCAATTATGCCAGTACTCAGAAATGCTAAATAAAAGACTTCGGAAGAGATCGTATTTGTCAGATTTTTTATTTTATTTGCAAAAAAGGAGATATTTACTTTCAAAGTTGACGTTTGAAGTCAGGTCAATTACAGAGAAAATGATATGTTTGAGAAGTAAATATGCATAATAAAAGGGATATATATGCAAAATGGGACAATACATATTGTAACTATTAAAAACTTGACTGAATTTTAAACATATATTAGCATTCCGGTATTTTTATTTGTGTACGACAACTGAATTGAACGCGTAAGTTCTTACCATGGTTATTTACCGATTTTTTTTTTATCACATACGAACAGATATTATTATGAAAACATTTTTAAAACTATTAGCTATCAAAATGAAATCTTTAAAAACCACTCTTCTAGAAATTAAGGTCACAACATGTCTTCTAAATATAAACCTGTGAATATCTCTGCTCCGTAGTGAAAAATGCGCATTTTCTAATTAAAATACATACAAGCTGGGTGTCTTCAAAAACAAGTAAAAGCACTTAGATATCGTAGGAACAACATAAAATTTAAATCAAGGAGACAATAAATCAAATAAGAAAATAATTCTTACCGGCAGTATTGAATTCGATGTCGTATAATCCAATTTACTACTATGCAAGAGTTTGAAGCAATAAATAAGTCAATATCCACAAAATAATTTCATAAATATAATTATCCATTCAACAAAAATTAAAGTAAAGTCACAATGCACTAAATACAGCCATTATGCAGCCGTATATTTGAAGAAAGCGAACGACAATCCATCATTTGTTTACATCGGACGCCATTTTGCCGCAATGCATGATGGAGCCAAAGACTTCGTTTTCGGAGTTCACGCCGTTTTTAGAGTTCGTCTTGACTGCGAAAGGTGGCCCTTGTTGCAAAAATTTATTCAGTTGAACATCTTACTATTCGTTTCATCAAGTGAAAAAATAATGATATCCCTTCTATTTCTATAAAAACAACCATCTTGTTCCTACTGTTAGTGATGTTTTATAAAATAAAATTATTGTATATTTTTCTCAGATATTCGTACAAGCAATGTCGTATTACAAGGCCTAATAATTTATGGCAAGAGCTGTTGTGATGTAAATAGATCTTACTCCGCGTAGCACATGTTTGTTTGTTGTTGTTTTCTCTCTTTCTCTATTTTTGTTTTGTTTTGTAATTGTTTCTTTTTTGTTATCTTTGTTGCTTTCAAAGTATAAACAACATATATATGTGAGATTTTATGTTATTTGGTATTTAAAATAGACAATGAATATCACCAACTTGTCAATATACATTTGCTCTATTTTCAATGGCGTATTTAGAATCAATATTGTGGAGTCCTTTGTCGCCGCAGTAATTGAAAAGAAAGAAATGGGGGTCGACTGCAATGAGGCCACATCGCTGTTAGGGATGCGCCTCAAAAAATAGTTTGTGTCCAAAAACATGTGAATAAACATGATAAATATTAAATCCCTCTTTATGACATTATGATATCATGAAATTAGCTTAACAGCAGACTGGGTAGTGCAACTTGTATAATTATATTTAGGCCAAAAAAAATAATAGTCTTGTTTCCTGCTACCAGACCTACCCTATTTTTTTGCACCCGACCCTAAAGTTTTTTTTAGGTTTTGGAAGGAAAAAAATCAGGAATTTCTGGAATTTCATCGTTCTGTCACCATAATCGGTTTTCGTGTTAACACAAAACAAGCATTTCATGAAATTCTTGTTTTAAATGTGGACTTTCATAAAATACCACTTGAGTTTTGCATTTATAAAAAGACATGAATTAATTTTAAAAGACATTTTTATACCTCTATTAAGAATACTCAAATTTGATTGGCTTGTTAGAAGGCTTTTAAACTCAATAATGACTCCAAAAAGTACCGTTTACAGCAATAATGACCTAGGAATCATTGCACGTGGGGTATAATGACTGGTCAATAAAATTAATGACCGCTAAAAATGACCTGTTGATCCAAATTTCATTCAAATTAAAAAAAAATATGCATACAGTTGTACATTACAAAAATTGCCGTTATAAAAATATGTATAGTATTTTTAGGTTACGGAACACGATTGGCCTTTAGATGCGTCATAACATTTATCGTTTTCATTGAAATTAACTTTCGTTACAATACAATGTCAAATTCAACGAACGCAGACTCGGCTCTCTTGTACAGTAAAAGTCTGCACCAGATTGTCATTGTAGTCGGGAATGGTATCTGTGAATTTATAAAAATGCAATGTTACTGACAATCACAGAGTGTTTTAATAAATCGGCGGTGCAAAAACTTACATGACTAGCAGCCGAAAAGTAAACAACTTAACTAGCGAATCCCCATCCCGATGGAACACTGATAACAGTTCGTAGGTCTTATACATGTAATTTATTATTTTAGTAATTAAGCTTACAAAAATTGCCTTAACTTATATCGGTATAATAAAACAATTGATTACCCCTTATGAGTTCAACATGGTAAAATAAGGACCCTCGACCTGGCCCACTCGCTGACCTGACCTGACCTCGGTCGCTACGCGGCCTCGGTCAGGTCAGGTCACCTCGTGGGCTAGGTCTCGGGTCCTTATTTTACCATGTTGACCGCATAAGGGGTAATTAATTGTATAATATTGACCTGTGACATGTTTAATTTTATCTTGTATTAGTTCATATCCAAAAAATGATGTCGGAAAAAAAATAAAATAAAAATATAAAATAAAATAATTTTCCTACCTACCTACCCTATTTTTTTTCAGGCTGGTAGCAGGAAACAAGACTATTATTTTTTTTGGCCTTATATATATTACCTGAATTAATCTCATCATCATCATCACTGTCAAATGAATTTCCATTGAATTCCCAACTAAAAGGGTCCGATTCCACTTCCACATCTGAGCTAGCCATTTGGATGTCTAAAACATCAAAGCATTTAGATTCAACATCACCTTTTAAAAATTAAAACTGTCTTCAAACAAGAGGCCCATGGGCCACGATGCTCACTTTGGTCAAATAGGTTCAATAAAAGACTTACTTATAGACACAAAATATTACAAAAAAATTTATCAATTCAGATTCTGAGATCTTATTTTCCAGGTATAAGTCTTCTGCTAAATGTGTCTTTGTGTGACATCATATTGTAACTAGGGGATTGCTCTAAAATCAGCCCCAGTATTTCCAATTTGTTTAAACATCATTTATGTTAAAAATTATACAAAAAATATTTTTTCGAAAAAATATACAAACTTAAATTTAAATACAGATCAATCTGGATTTTAACTTTTTTGCACAAAACTATAAATTAAGAGCATATAAAATTATAAACATGTAATGAAAAAAATATGAAATTCAAGCAATATTATCATTCTTTCTACATCCATCCACTTTACAAAACAAAACCACAGATGTTGAGAGTAAATTAATAATATAAACTTACTTTTATAGTCTGATATAAATTTGATCTCAAAACCGTTTTGGTCAAAGCCAGCCTGGCAGTAAAAATCTGCTTCTGACGAAGGTGACATTCGTCTTCTCTGAAAATAGATGTGATCAGGGAATACATAAGCTTTAATTCATAACATACTATATAAATGGTGCCTGTTTTGGAGGGTAACAAATGAAATTGACACCCTTTTGAAAACCATTGTTAACCTTTTGTTTTGTCATTGAAATGATCACTCCTGAAATATTTTATCGACCAAATATTGGAAGATTTTTTTTAAATTTTAATCAATTCTTTGCCTGTAATCAAATGACCACCAAAACTTGTGTTGGATCTAAGGGAAAACAAGTTTCTTGGTTGACTAGTGATACTTTTTACAAAAAAGTTAACTGTTTATTGAGTTTTTTTTTTAAACATATAAACATAGGTAATCAAAGATTACAAAGCTCAATGAATGGTACATGTGTATCTATAAGTAAGGTAAATCTTGTACCAATTTTGTGCGAGATCAATTATCAATGCAAGTTTGGTTAAAGTAGGACTTATAGTTGCATGGGAATAGACCTGCTCCAAAAACTTTAAACTTAAACTGTTTACTCATAAAGAAAATGTAGGTCAGTTCCAGCATCCATAGCATGTCTGGTAGTGTCCATCCCTAGTTTCGTCATCCATGCAAGTTTAGTCATAACATGTCATATAGTGATAGAGCTACTCCAAAGACATTACTCTGGTCACATATCTGAAAAATGTAGGTCAGATTCAGCATCAAAAGCAAGTCTTCTTGTGTCCATCTTTAGATACATCATTCCATGCTAGTTTGGTTCTGGTAAGGCTAATAATTACTCATCTGGAAAATAAAGGTTAGATCCAGCATCCAAAGCAAGTCTGGTAGTGTCCATCCCTAGGTGCATCATCCATGCAACTTTGGTTCAGGTAGGGCTTAGTTACTTGGAAATGCATGGACTTGCTCCAAAAACTTTAACCTGGTCACTCATCTAGAAAAATTTAGGTCAGATCCAGTATCTGAAGCAAGTCTAGTATTGTCCATCCCTAGATGCATCATCCATGTAAGTTGGGTCCAGGTACGGCTTATAGTTACTTGGGAATGGACTTGCTCCTAAAACTTTAACCGGGATGCCGACACAAACGAATATCAATAATTATGATTTGCCATCTAAATCACATGTTCAATTTCAAGTGTGATTTACAACATTTTCATAATTTTATTCGGTAAACAAATAAAAAAAATTACAAATTCATTTTTAATGGACCCAAATTATAGCTTGTATAGCCACTGTATTAGTGTAAAATGTGCACTGTGCCATTTGGCTGACCCCACAAAATGCAAGAAAGCCTGATTTTCTAGTTTGTAAGTTCATTGCAGTCTGCACTCTTGGTATTCGTCATCGAAATTAAATGATATCCATGATGTATCATATAACAAGAGGCCCAAGGGCCTTAACGGTCACGTGAGTATAAAACAATAATCCATAGAGGATCCATAGAGTATAAAATAAACTGAATAGATATAACCTTAATTTGTTGCCCAAAAGCAAGAAAAATAGGATGATCATGATCTTCGAAATAATTAGTCTAATATTCAGTAACAACTCATAAATTAAGTTCTAATCTGTCCCCAATTTAGATTTTTTTCCTATAAGTTTTATTTTCTAATATGCCCCCACCCTACCCCCGAGGGTCATAATTTGAATAATCTTGAATCTACACTACTGTAAAACACTTTTTATTCACAAGAACTTTATTTTTGCGTAATTATGTGAGACAGTGTGCTCGTGAAAATTTCATTCTCACTTATCTTAGTATTCCTAAAGATTATATACAGCAAACACATTTCGTGAATATTCTGTCTCGCTAATAAGGAGTCAGTGACTATCTCGCGAAAATGATGTGTCCCGAAAATTTAGTGATCTACAGCACCTGAAGATGTTTCTGTATTAAAATGACTAATCATGGCTTTGTTGTTCTTGAGAAGAAAATTTTTAAATGATCTTTCATATATATTCCTAACTAAAATTCGATCACCTGTTGTGTCCCCTCCCTACCCCAGGGGGTCATGATTTGAACAAATTTGAATTTACATTACCCAAGGATGCTTCCATATAAATAAGACAAATCATGGCTTTGCTATTCTTGAGAAGAAGATTGTTAAAGATTTTTCCTATGTATTCATATGTAAATCTTTGATCATAAATTGTGGCCCCACTCTATATTACCTGAGGATGCTTCCATGTAAATATAACCAATCATGGCTTTGCTGTTCTTGAGAAAATAATTTTTTCAAGATTTTTCCTACGTATTCCAATGTAAAAATTTCATTGTTCATTATGGCCCCACTTTGAATCTACACTACCTGAAGATGTTTCTACATCAGTTTCATCTTTCTTGGGCCAGTGGTTCTGGAGAAGATTTTTCCAATGTATTCCCATGTAAAACTTTGATCTCCCATTGTGACCCGCCCTGCCCCCGGCAGGGGTGTGCAATTACCATTGCCCAGCGCTCAGGGCTACCAATTTTAGAGGTTGGGCTATCATAAATCTATACTGCATTAGCCTGTCGGGCTAGTAAATCTGAAACGAAAGTATATGTATATTTACATCGACTGAATTGATGTACGAATTAACTTTGTTGTAAAATCATAATCTTTAATTCTTTTCAACATATATGTATTGTGTGTTGCTATCGCCAGTCATTTCAGTGACTGTCACAATTATATTCGATAAAAATAGGGAGAAGTACCTGACAATAACATAGTGGAAACCATTATTTGTTTTATTTATTTCAACTTAAATTTTTTTTTTTTTTTTTACCTTTTTGTTATACTTATACATGTATTGTTTTCGGTAGTTAATGGGCTAGTGATGATTTCAACCTCGAGCTAGTAACTTTGTTACTTCCACTAGCCCAGGCTAGTAACTAATTTTTGTAGTTGCACACCCCTGCACAGGGGTCATGATTTGAACAAACTTGAATCTACACTACCTGGGGATGTTTCCACATAAGTTTTATCTTTCTTGGCCCAGTGGTTCTGGAGAAGAAGATTTTTAAAGATTTTTCCTATGTATTCCTATAATGTAAAACTTTGATCGTCCATTGTGGCCCCACCCTACCCCTGGGAGTTATGATTTTAACAAACTTGAGTCTACACTACCTGAGGATGTTTCCACATAAGTTTCATCTTACCTGGTCCAGTGGTTCTTGAGAAGAAGATTTTTAAAAGATGCCATTAATTTTTCACTAATTCTTAGTTATCTCCCCTTGGAAGACGGTGTGGCGCTTCATTTGAACAAACTTGAATTACCTTTACCCAAGGATACTTTGTTGCAAGTTTGGTTGAAATTGGCCCGGTGGTTCTTGAGAAGAAGTTGAAAATGTAAAATGTTTACGCAAGACGCACACCCGCACGACGACAGATGAAAACAGGTACATGTAGCAATAGGTCACCTGAGTGACTCAGGTGACCTAATAAAATCAGAGCCACCAATCAACATATTGACATCCACTGGCTAAGCAACAAACTTTTCCTCTGATGTGGTTCCTAACTCCAAAATATCAAGTCATTTTGCATGGCTGCACCACAGATTTATGAAATTGATGCATATGGAAAATATTACCTTAGGCCATTCCAAGTTTTTTCTATGTTTAGCATCCACCCATCTTTCAAATACTTCCCTACCTATTCGCAAAAAACACACAAACCAAAAAGTAAAACATAAGTCATTATAGCCATAAAAATGATGTCATTCAAAGAATATGATTCCATTAATCTATTTTTCTCGTAGAAATATTTATTCTTCAGCAAAATCAAGGTATTAAATGCTTAAAATATTCCAAATATGGCATATTGTAGACAAATACTTAGAGAAATTGACAGAATTCAGTGAATCGACCAGAATAAACAATTTCAGGACTCCTGATTTTGTTTGTTTGGTTTTTTTTTTTTTTTTGTTAAGGGATGTCAAAAAAACCAAGGCACACGCGGACGCTAAACATTGAAAAAACTTGGAATGGCCTTAAATGTACAATGAAATACCATACTAACAAATTCTAATTAATTATCTAGGCACGCTCTTTGATCTCTAAAAGTTGGCATTAAAAAATGATTTTGGTTTAAATATATTTTATTCTAAATACTTGCTGTAATAGATGACAAATCTCCATGAAGTTCTAAAAACAGAAAATTTATTTCCACATATCTGTTATCAAGGTGGCAGGGGATAATTTTTCTTTTCAATGCCAAACATGTGCCGAGGGGGTAGGCATATGCATGAGGTCAATAAAAACAGATAGTTTGGGGCAGTTTCTTGGGTGCTAATTAATTGCACTTCATATATCTATAGCTCAAAAAATGTGTCAACGTATAACATGTAACCTACATATTAAAGTGCACATGTACCGAAAATGCACTTGGAGGTCTCCAAAGACTTTGGCTTGTTTTTCCAAGATTTGGGCTGCTGTCGCACCTATACAGCCCATCCCATTCCCGAGCGAGCAGGATAAAACACCCAGTATTCTGTAGAACAATGCATGCCCTAATGAAAATTCACCAATTGATCTGGGGCCATTCACCTTCCCTCTGAGATGCACACCACTGCTTTTCAGCTGAATTTCCTCTGCGACTGACCAAATGTCTTAGTTTCGCATTTACAACTCTATATATGCTAAGCATCAGAGTGACACCTACATGATGCACATCATTTTTCTCAGCAAGCTCTGCTACACTGCACATGTACATGTATCCCATAATTATTCTATTCATTTTTCTACATAAAATATCACATCAATCAGGGGATATCTCAGTTTTTAAATTTGACAGTGTGTACTATAGTATGAAACTATCCCCTGCCACCCAATGTCATATGGCCATAGTCAAGTCGTACCCAAGGCAATTCAAATCTTAACATGTTAACATACAAACATATATGGTTTTGAGTTGACACAGATAAATGCTGTTTTTATTCTCACGGATCAAAAAGTTCCTTGATAAAATGGTTTGCTTAACGGAT